CTCTCTCTCTCTCTCTCTCTCTCCCTGCAGTGTCACCGTGCCCGCTGCGATGGACGCTCTGCCCGGGTGGAAGCTGCGTCCCCTTGCCGGCCGAGTGCGGCCCACCTCGACGGGACCCGCACCCCCCCTCCCCCTCCCCCCCTCCCCTGGTGGGCAGGGGAGGGGCGTGCCGGGGCGGGGTCCTCTCCCTGCGCGGCTTCTTTGGTTCCTTCGGGCCCCGGGGCTGCACGGGGGGAGGGTCCCGGCGATGCGAGTGCGCGTGGCTGCTCGACACGGGCGACCCCCGTCCCCTGGTGCTTACCTTCGCCAGGATGAGACTGGGGGCGGGCGACCGGCTGGAGGTGTGGGAGGGGGCCGGGGGGAGGCTGGTGGGGGCGCTGGGCGGGGAGAGGGCGAACGGCCAAAAGCCCAATGTTGGGGGTGCGGGGGCCACCTTGCGCACCGAGTCCGGCTCGGCCCTGGTGACCTACAGGGGGTCCGAGGGGGGCTTCAACGCCACGTACCAGGTGAAGGGCTACTGCGCTCCCTGGCAGAGCCCGTGCGGGGACGGGGGGGCCACCGACTGCTACTCCCCGGGGCAGAGGTGCGACGGGGTGTGGCACTGCGAGGGGGGCCGGGACGAGGAAGGGTGCCCCCAGTGCCCAGCCGGGAGGTACCCCTGTGGGAGGCACAGCCGCCTCTGCTATGGCCCCGGGGACCGGTGCAACTACCAGACGTATTGCCCCTCGGGGGAGGACGAGGGGCACTGTGCCCGATGCCAGCCGGGTTGCTTCCGGTGCGGGGACGGGAGGTGCATCTTTGAGACGTGGGTGTGCGACAGTCAACACGATTGCTCTGATGGCGCCGACGAGCTGTGGTGCCGGGCCTCGCTGCCCAGGAAGGTGGTGACCGCTGCCACCGTGGGCAGCCTGGTCTGCGGCCTGCTCCTCGTAGTGGCCATGGGCTGCACCTGCAAACTCTACTCACTCCGCAGGAACCAGTACAGGTAAAGGGGAGCCTGATCCAGGCTCGCACCGCGCACAGGGAGCTTTACCCTGTATCTAACCCCGTGCTGTCCCTGTCCCCGGGGAGTGAGAGATGGGGGTGGACAGTGTAGAGGGAGCTTTACTCTGTATCTAACCCCGTGCTGTCCCTGTCCCTGGGAGTGTTTG